CACTTCATTCATGAGGGATTGGAACGTGGGGGTGCGTTTGTCAACCCAAATGTGTCCTAAATGTCGTCTTTGGAATATCCTCCGATGTGACCCGAATTTGATGATTTCCCGTGTAATTCATCAATCATATGAATGTAAAACTTATCCGGTACCGTTACCTTGATTACGGCTCAATAATCTACATAGAAACACCACCCTCTGTCTTTTTTCTTTACCAATAAAATTGGACTAGAAAACGGACTGTTATTTGGCTTGATAATTCCTGCAACTAGCATATCTTGGACCAATTTCTCTCTCTTGTTTTTCTGAACATGTGAGTAGCGATATGGCCTCACACTAACAGGGTTTGTTCCGGGTTGCAGATGGATGGTATGGTCCTTATCTCGTTGCGGGGCAACCCCATAGGCTCTTCAAAAACCTCGATAAATTTATTCAACACCTCCATAATCTTTGATAGTATTTCTCCCTATCCCCTTCCAAACTCGACCCCCATACTGCCTAGTTCAAGAAGCACACCTTCCTCTCATTCTCTGAAGGCTTTCATCATCGCCTTCAAGGTGATCAAGGTTTTACTCAAGCTTGGATCCCCTTACAAGGTCATGGTAGCACCCCCGACCTGGAATTTCATCGTGAGCATCTTCCAGTCAACATTGGTTGGGCCTAACAACTACAGTCACTTCATCCCCAATATCACATCAGACTCCCCAAGTCCAAGGGAAGGAAATACGACAATATCGATATTCTGGAAGGATAATAGCACCCCTTTGCACACCCCACACCTTGCACCACCAACCCCGTACCCATGATCACCCCATAAACAGCTGTATTTGTTCTTTTCAAGTCCAATTTCTGTACTATTTCATATGAAACAAAATTATGGCTAGCCCCGCAATCAATTAGTACTACCACCTCATATCGAAATTAACCCTTTCATTTTCATGGTTTGCGGTAGAGTGAGCCCCACCATCGAATTCATGGACTATTCCACCAACTCTCTTGTAATTGTTTGCTCTCCTTCAAACGATTCTTCCCTCAACTCCTCCATACCCAGCCCTTCTTCCAACTCTTCATCATAAACCAACAAAACTTGTAATTCCCTGTTCTTACACTTGTGCCCTACAAAAAACGTCTCGTAACAGCGGAAGCACAATCCTCTCTCACGTTTGCTCTTGAACTCCGCTTCACTGAGCTTTTTGAATTTTGAAGATGCGTCGTCTGTACGGGGGTTTGGGGTTCGATCGGTATTATAGTTCGTGGACTAATGTTTGGAGCTAAGTGAATAAACTATCGGGGTGAAGGGTTTTGCCAATTTGGGTTAGGGACTGATTTATTACTTATTGGGTCAGATCTGCCAAAACGGGCCTGCAACATCAATTTTTTTTTTTTTTGAAGAAATTACACTAAACCAGGTCTTAAGTTTGGCATTTTCAAAAATCAGGTTTTCACTTTTTTTTTCATTTATCAGGTTTTTTATCATTTTAATTAAATAATTAATGTTTTAAAACCCTAATTTATTTATCAATTCCTCACCCCCCCCACTCCCCTCTCTCTCTCTCTCTATTCTCTCTCCCCCCTTGTCTCCCCCTCCCTCCTTGCCGCCTCATCCCCTTTCCCCTCTCTTCTCCATCCCCCTCTTCCTTGCCTGCAGTAGCGTTGCTGTGAAGGACGTGATTATGCTCGAATACTTGTAATAGCAGGCGTTCTACCCCTGTACAAAGATGACATCGTCAAAGTCCAGCTGGAGAAGCAGACGCCACCGAGATTATTCGGGTTCGGATTCTGCATCCGACTCAACTTTGGAGTCGGATAGAAACCAAAGCAAGAGCTGGAGTTGAAATCGCAGCAGTAGCCGACGATTAGACTTCGATGATTCTGAAAGTGACGCCCACGAGCGATCGAGGAAGAAGAGCAAGAGGAAGATTACAGAGGAAGAAATTTCTGAATACCTAGCTCAAAAGGCTCAGAAAAAGGTATTGTGATTCTCCTTTATACTTCCCCCAAATTTGTTTAGACCTTTTCACCCAATTCCGTATAGTGTTTTTCTGCATTTTAACTAATTGGATACTTTGTTAGGCTATGAACGTCGCCAAGAAGTTGAAGTTGCAAACAGTAACTAATTAGATTTTATGACCAAGTGTTGGTGGTGGTTGTGACCAAGTGTTGATGGGGTCTGGTTTTGGAAAATGTCGCAGATCTGGGGATGTGTGGTTGTGGAGATAGATGTGGTGGTATATTTTTGGCGATGGTGGTGGATCTGTGGTGGCAGTTGTGTGGTGGTGATGGTGATCCATGCGGTGGTGGTCCTTTTTTGTTATTGTTGTGACGGGGTCAACGACAATGATGGTTCTTTGTGGTGTTTGTAACCTAACTATTGATATGTGACTTTAAAATTGATAGTTTGTAGGTGTCCGTGATCAACAAATTTGAAAATACGTGACATCTGACATATAATTTTTTTGATCTGTGACCTATAAATACTACAATGAGAATTTCTATAAGCAATTAACAAGCGAAAATGCTGAATGTCCCGGCTCAATGAAGGTCCTTTTTTGTTATTGTTGTGGCGGGGTCAACGACAGTGATGGTTCTTTGTGGTGTTTGTAACCTAACTATTGATATGTGACTTTAAAATTGATAGTTTGTAGGTGTCTGTGATCAACAAATTTGAAAATACGTGACATGTGACATATAATTTTTTTGATCTGTGACTTATAAAATTTTAGATTTGTAACATCGAAATAATTCGTGACCTAAAAATTTTTTGATCTGTGACCAATGAAAAAACTATGACCTATAAAATTTTAGATCTGTGACCTTGAAAAAATCTGTAATCTACAAAATTTTTGATCTATAACCTATGACCGGAGAACAGTTGCCGGAGTGATCGCCGATCACAGGAGCAGTCACCAGATGGGGTAGGGGTGGGTTATAATTATATCATATTACAGTTAAATATTTAATTTAATATAATAATTGTGAAATATAATTAATTAATTCATGAAAAACCTGATTTTTGCAATTCTAAACCTTGAGGTCTGATTTTGATTTTGGGATAGATAAAACCTGAGTTATGAATTTTAGATAAAGCCTAAGTTGTGAATTTTTTCCAATTTTTTTTCTTTAATTCGTAGGGCTAACTACATGATCTGTTCTAACCCAATGGACCTTAACACTCGGATTTCAGCCTTAATTTCCGGTCTCAGCCCATTTATGAAATGACCTTCTAAGATGGTGTCTGAAACATCTCCGATCGATGCTGCTGGAGTCTCAAAGGCAATCCGATACTCCATCACTGACCCATCCTGTCAAAGAGCAAGGAATCGCTCCTCCATGGAACCTTCTACCCAATTCCTTATGCCCTTTCTCTTCTGTTCCCACTGATACCAGACGAGTGCATCTCCTTCGAAACACAATTCTGCCGTCTCCAACTTCTCCCCCTCCGTCAGGTGATTCACCATAAAATGACGTTCTGCCCTGAAGATCCAATTGTCTGGATTCTTTCCCAAAAACACAGGCATCTCTAGCCTCCTTTTTATTTCTAGTCACCAATTTTCTCCTGAACCTCCACTTCCGACTCGATTGCTTGTCTCCAAACTTGGGGAGTTTTCAGAATGCAAAGTGTACTATGAGTCTTTTCCCCTTTCGATCCCTTTGCATTCTCTCCCTCTGTCCCCTTCCTCCCACTTCGATCTCATGAAGGTGAATTGCTCTAGAATGATAGACATGTTTTTCTTAATATTCTGTACCCTTTACATCTCCACCTGCATCCTGTCAAACCCAGTTTGCATTCCCTCCTTTTGTTCTTGTAGTTTCCGGTGAAACCCTTCCAACTCTCCTACCCGTACATTAATAACTAAATTTAAACAGTAAAACAGAGAAGATGGATCAAACTGATATTGGATTAACTAATTTTGTAGCAATACTACAATCAGAATTTCTATAAGCAATTAACAAGCGAAAATGCCGAATGTCCCAGCTCAATGACCGGGACATTTGACAGGGCGCCGAGGTGGCGCCCTGTTATTGGAGGGGGGCTGACTTCGGTCAGCTCCCCCTCCAATTGTATGGTGCCACCTCGGCACTGTATTTTGGCCCGGCCATTGAGCCGGGCCATGTAGCATCACTCAACAAGAAACTGAAATACAAATATTTTGCATTCGAGAGGTCAATTCTCTCCTAATGGACTACCAATTTCTGCCTGCCTTCACAGTAATCACTACTCTTATTTATACTCGGTTTCTTTCCTCCCTAACCGACTCGGTAAGTGTGCATGTTGCTGCTCGCTCATCAAGTCCCTGTACTGCCCTTGCTCATTTTTTGCGCCTTTGGTATGTCATGTGGATTGCGGGTATATCAGACGTCTCAACCAATATTCTAAGAACAGGTTTGGGCATCGACCCGAAAAAGGGAAAAGAGTTAAACCAAGATCAAACCAGTGGTAAAAAGGGTTGAATAAATTTTGGACAGTGTTATTAGATATCGATTGTAGAGTATATTGAAAATCTTGATTCTAACGGTCTGTTTGGTGTGGGTCTCAGAAAACTGGTAGTTAAAATTAGAATGTCACAATGAGGTCTAATATGTTTATAGTATGTCCAATGCAGTCGAGTCTACCTTACCATACCTTCTGAAGACAAAAATAGGTCATAGACAAAATGGATAGTAACTTGTAAATTAAGTGCCAACTATGTCTTCTCCAATCAAGAAAGCCTTTCATGCTGAACCATCAATCTTGCAGCAATATCCAGTATAGAACTTACAATGTGAAAGATTGACAGGTAATTTGAAATCATTATCAATGCTCAACTTTTCTCCCAAAAAAAAAAAAAAAAAAAAAAAAGCCAACTATACACACAGGGTAATAAGATCATATAGACTGCTTGGAAAGAAGTTTGCTAGAAGGAGCCGGTGTTCGATAAGAAGAACAGGGGATGGAAAGGTTGAACAACAGAATTGGTAGAAAAATTCCAGCATCTCAATTAAATATCAAGCACTGTATATCATGAAACTGTAACTTGAATATTTGGGTAGGAGATGAAGAAACAATTAGATGACAAATTCGTAAAGGAGCTCTTGAGTTCTGGACAGGGTTCAGGTGACACATTGCTAGAGGAACCGAACACGTTGGAGCATACCCATGATGTGGAAGGGTTAGAGGTGACATAGAACGTAACATTTGACAAACATATGGAAGTGAAAGGAGATTCACTAATTCCAGAAAATATCCCAGCCGTAGCAATTTCTACACCAAACACGTCCTTAAAGGTGATGCCACTGACCACTGGCAATGCATGAAGATCAAATCTGTCATCAGGATGTGATTTGCACTGACCTGTTGCCTTGATTCCTCGCTGTACATTTTCCATGAGCACGTCTGATATGTATATGCCTTTGATATAGCCACCCCTTCCTCTATCGGTCTTAAGCCCAATGCCAGTAGGAGAGTTGTGCACATGAAGGTGCTCCAGCAGTATATGGGATATGCCAGCTGACATCTCGCTGCCAAAAGCGATTCCCGATCCGGAAGAAGAATGCACAGAAACCCCCCGAATGTGTACATTTGCAGTCGGTTTGCCATATGCAATTCCATACTTGTCCCAACCACTTTTAAGCGCAATAGCATCATAACCCGTGCTAATGTTGCTGTTCTCAATGCAAACATGCTCGGAAGAATCTGAAATTTACATTTCAAGTTAAACTAAATAGAGAAATATTAGACAAGTAAGAAGTGAAATTTTGAAATTTAACACGCAATTACTCATAATGGCATAATCAATTAATCACCTTTAATAACAACAGCATCATAACCCACACTATTTACTGTTAGGGATGGAAACATATTTGGAAGAATCTGAAAATTCATGTTGCAAGTTTTACTACGCAGAGAAACATTAGATGAGAATCCTGCCCCATGAATATCACAGTTGGTTTTGTTTTATAGAATTGGGGTCCCCAACCTATAAATTTGTAGCACTCGAGTCTCCAGTGGACAGTTTCAATCCCTTGGGGCGTTAGAAGGTCAGGTCAATGCACTTGAAATAATGTTCGAGGGGATAAAATACGTACACACATTATTTTAATGAAAAAAGTACATAGAAATGAAATAGAAAGGGAAAAAAAAAAGGAAATCCAACCCCCATTTGCCTGCATTCCTCCATCCACGTCCATCCCCACCTGCTGCTTACCCACCCAACACTCCTGGTTTCGCCATTCCCCCAACCAGCTCCCTGGGAATGGCAGGTTGGGGGTGGAGGGGGAAGAGCAAAGGGGGAGCGGTAGAGGGGCTGCAAAAAAAAAAAAAAAAAANGCGAGACACGTAAAAAGAAAATATTAAATGTATCCATGTGAACATTCCAAGTTCATCAAACAAGTAATCGAGCAACTATTCAGATTTAGATTTCAATTGACCTGGGACTATCCCGCTGGTGTATGGAGCATCAGGTGGAGAATAAATTGTTACGTTCTGAACTAGCACCTTCCTACATCACATTGCATAAAGAAAAAAGTAAAACTTGTAGAATTGAGTACAATAATATAGAGATAATCCTCAAATAGCAATTAAAAATATAAAATTGAGAGATCCAACCAAGCCACCTGCAATAAGCAAAGTGAATGTTCCAAGCAGGTGCATTTAAGAAGGTTAAGTTTGATATAACAATGTTGTTTGAACCAATGAATTCCACTAAATGCGGTCGACTGAAATTTAGAGAATGAGCAGTGAATTGCTCCATGGAGCCTTGGCCATCAATTGTTCCATTATCACCTATATAGTAGGTAGAGAATAAGTAAAATTGCACAAGAATAGCAATGTTAGATTGCAGAAATACGGGAAAAAGTGGAAATTGGCTGAGTTACTAGAGTAACATACCTGTTATCACAACGTCAGTTAAATTATTTCCAGTAATTAAGCTGCCATATCTTCTATCATGTAGCTCAATACCTTGGCCATAAGATGGTAAAGGCTCGACTATGTCCCAGTAACTATGATCCTGCAAAAGTGAGCAGAAAACTTTTAAAAATACTCTAATCCCAATATGAAAACAAAGTAATGTCCACATTAGAGCAACTCTTGTCAGCATAAAGCTTTCGGCATAAACAACTCAATTTAGTGACACTCCGACGGAATTCATTTTTCTTTTTATAAATTCCCAAACTACTTTAACATTTTTCTATTAAGAGATCTTTTAGAAAAATAAGTTAAAAATCAAAAGCAACACTTTTTCAGGGAAGATAGAGGTTCTAAATTTGTAATGTGTGGCAAAAATTAAGGGAATGTTCACCATGTGAACAAGTCTGCAGAAGGTATTTGAAATAATAAAGTTCGACCCAGCTAACACCTAGAGGGGGTGAATTGGTGTTTATGCAGAATTAAAGATTATGTTCGACTTTATGTGCGAAATTATACAATTAAAAGCAATAAGTCACTTTTTAATTATTTCTAGATGGTTAAACAAACAGTCAAATTATCCTAAATTAAATTGTCACAATTTGTCATAAGAAAGCAATAAATAACACCAATATTGATGATGGAGAAACCCAACTAGGTAAAAAATTCGGACCAAGCCAGTTACCTCCACTATAAATGAATCAACTTACAGTACTGTCAGAGACTCTACTAATTCTAGTGTTTTCCGACCTTTTGACTGTAATCACAAAAGCTCTCCTGAATTGCGTGCTCCTGCAGCAACTCCTGACCCTCTGAATTCGTCTTATCTACCGTAGATTAATGAGAACTCCTTGTTCTCCAACGACTAGAAACTCTGATCACCTTCCTTGATCTTTAGAAAATGTTGTGAAAGTGTGTGTTTTGGTATTTGATTTATGTGAGGATCATGTTTTTCTAAGCAATGATCAAATCAAAATAATGGTTGAACTCAATGAATGATGTAGAATGATATGAAGGATGAAAAACCATGTTTCTCTCAACGCTCAACCTCAATTTTTCGTGTGGTGGAGTTCATATATATAGTGAAGAGGTTTTGGGTAGTATGGGTCGAATAAAAGCCTTGAAAAAAGCGATAGGTTTTTCCGGAAAACACTGTCGTTCGAGCGAGAGCTCAGCGACGGGCGAGCGACGGTGTCTCACTCGAGCGAAGTCCAGGCGACAGGCAGGCGATGCAGCTTCTGTTTTTACCGCTCGAGCAACAGGTGGACGATAGGCTAGCGAAATTGCGACGACGTTTACTCCTTTGTTCCATACTCGAACCCTAAGACTTCTAATTTACTACTCGAACATTTGACTTATAAAAACTCTTTTACAACAATAGTTTTGTCAAAAAATTGCCAATGACTTCAAATCCTAACAGTATTTGGGTATTTATATCTCCTAAAGGAGCAATAGTGAGAAAAGAAAAATAACGATAGGCAGAACATTTTATTCTGTTTAATCAAGAGCCCACCGAATGAGGTTTTCATCAGTAAGAGGAAGACCAGCTCGAGAAGGATTATACAAGTAGAAAGAAACCCTTTATTTGTCCAAGGAACAAAATGTGGTTACTATGGTCAGTTCTGGCAGCTTAAAGAGAAAAATAGCACTCATCTTCATAAACTAATGGCCAAAAATTCCTTTATTTAAGAAACAAGGTAAATTTCTGTACTAAAATGACAACCTGAGAGCCAAGAATGATGGCATCTTTTTCCAGGAAAAGCGTCATATAGCTAGTAAGGTTGATTCTTCCAGTAAGCCACCTTCCCTTGGGTACATAAAGTTGGGCACCACCTTTGTCAGCGAATGACTTCGAATAGAAAATGGCATTTTGAAATGCCAGAGTGTTTAATGTTTTTCCATCCCCGACAGCTCCAAATTCCAAAATGGAAATGGTGTGAGGTCTGGGTGTTAACGGCCAAAAAGACTCGCATTCTCCATCATATTCTGCAGCATAACTCAATGCCAGGAGCAAAAGCAAAACCACCTGAAAAGAAAGAAGACACAGAGAAAAGATTACAGGACAGTTCTTAAACAGACACAACATTTGAATAGCACTGGACTGCACTAAACACCAAACATGCACCCAGAGATTTATCTCATATACTGCCATGCATAACAGCCATAATTCCAAAAAACAATAAGTCAACGTACAGATTAACACGGTTGGATAACAAAACGCAAAATGACAAGATCTGTATATTAAAACATAACATGGAATGCTGTATTTTTAAAGCGGTATATGAAAAGAGTAACGCACAGAACAAGATTCCAACAATTGGCATTCATGAATACGAGTGCAAATGACTACTTTCACCCTAGCTATAAACACTAAGTATTCCTTTTATCATTGCCAAAAAGAGCCTTTGATTTACCAACAAACATGGCTCAAATCTAGTATTCAATAATTAGTTCTCTTATAGACAAAGTAGACAAAACTGGCAACCCCAACTGAAAAACACCCAAGATCAAATCAAACATTTTCATAATGCTGCAACCAAATATCAACACTCACATCAATTTTTATATGAAGATAACACAACAAGTGCATGTTTGTACACATAAATACTTGACCAAGAATTTAGTTTTTTTTTTTTTTTTCCTTACTAACGTCTGGTCCAACTTACCAAACATGCCATAACAGTATAAGATAAATATTACCAATTAGGAAGCTACCAATTTAATAAACGAAACACACTCATAACTTGAACAGAAAAAGAAAAAAATTATACAGAAACTATTATAATTGAAGAAACCTTTGATCAATTAAATTCAAAAAATTACCTACGTACTTACTAGCTTCTTCATAACTTTTTTCTTCTCTCTGATTCAAACCCACACCACCAAAACCCTTCAACTGCACATCAAACTGGGCAGAAGAACAAAGAAAAGGGTAAAATTACGCAAAAAACTGTAAACTATGAAAATATGCTGCCGAGTTGAATGAAGATTTTCTCGGGACATAGACTATGGGAAGTGAGACCAGTACGAAAAATCAAATGATTTCGGGGAGTGAAACAAGAATTATACTTACTTTATCAACTTAATTCAATGATTATGAGCCATTAATCACGATTTCTGTCAAATGGGTATGTGCACAGTAAAACACCGTGGAAATGATCTTGCCCGTAGATTAGCCTCAATGGATTAGCAAGATATTACTTGAACGCAGGCCGGCCATGTGGCTGGGTGGGGTCTGATACTTGGTTCTAAGTTTGTATTGAAGTGGTGTCATGTTTGTCGGGGCCAGATTGTCTGTAAGTTGCTGAGCTTGTCTGGTTCCATTATTTCTAAAATAAATTTTTTTTTTTATTTTTAACTACACATTTTCAATAAAATAATATTACGAACAAATATAAAAATTTTTCTTATTTTTTTAACCACACATTCCCCATAAAATTACTATTCAAAAATGCATTTTAGAAAAAATAAGAGGTGGCTCAAACACGCTATTTTCACGTCTTTCATGCAACTTAAAATACTAAGGGCTCGTTTGGCATGATTTTTAAAAGATCAAAGAATTTTTTAGATCTAAAAATTGTTTTTGAACTTGTTTGACTAATTTTATGAAAATATTCTTTTAGTTAGAAGGGTTTTTAAAGGAAATTGGTCAAATATGTCTTCCTTTAAAAGTACTCACGGAATAGAAAACTTTTTCAAAAATTAGTTTTAAACAAAATTAAGATGAATTCTTCCAAAAACTCTTTTACATAAAGCAACAGTAAAATTTATGTCAAACAAGTCTTAAAAATATTTCGTGGGCCGCAATAAGGCTAACATGGCAATGTAGAGTGAAAGGAGTTGTGTGTAATTCGTGAACTTCTCGATAGAAGAAACAATAGTGGTGTCTGAAAAATAAGTATCGACTAATATTGTATCACTGAATGCAACGATATAATAAACGTAATTAATGTGTGAGACTCTGGTCCACAAATTAGCGCATGTAATTTACTCTTAGAAAATATAGAAGGGAAACATAGCATATCGTAAAAATAAGGTGCGGTTTGGAACCCTATCATGTGAGGGATGCCTTGTGAGCCGAGCTTTCAGTAATCAAGCCTTTTGATGAAGTCAAGTCAATTCTAGGTCGCCAAACCCTACAACTCATGTAAAGACCCTAGATGAATAGGAGAAAAGATAAATTGTGATTACATAAAAGAATTTTGCTAGGTGTACATTCTCGTGTACATCTAGCATTACATTCCCCTTATGCGAAGGGTGGTAATGCATTGATGTAATTTCAAGATTTAAAATTAATTGTGTAGATGATGCTCCGTGATAGAATGTAAAGAATGATGTCAAATGTAATGTACATGTAGCATGACTCTAAAATAAAAAACCCTACGTCAAGTTTCAAGAGTCTAGAATTTAGTCAAGTCATGCGTGTTTAAATTCCTAAATGGTTGGATTTTTTCCTTCCATTATTTCATCTTCTCTAGGAGATTTTTATTAATTTTTTGAAAGTTCTTTTTATTTGACTTTAGTTTATTGTTTTTTTTTTTTAAAAACTTTTATTTGACTTTAATTTCTAGCTTTTAAAAGACTTTATATGTACAAAAGTCAAACATGACTTTATCCAATAAAGAGTGAAATAAGATTTAAATTTCGGTATTATCTACATTATGTAATTAAGATTTCAAGATTCAATATTTTTTTTAAAAACTCCGAAAGTATGTATAAAGTTCTTATAAATCTATTAAATATGACTTGTCTAGTTGAAAATTGAAACTGTGAAAAATAGTCTAATTTTTACATTTCAAAAATTTGAAAATTGTATAATTGACTAATTATAGGAATTATTAAATAAATACATTATTTTACAATTTTAGATAATTGGTATGTATTATTTTAATTTTTAAATGATTTTAGAATAATTAAAAATTTAAAATAATATTAAAAATAAGCAAACACGGGCTTAGGCTCGTGAAACTTGAAACTTTGCCTCAACCCTTAACCACGATTTACGCTTTTTAGAACAATGGTAAATTTCATGAATCTGTGGTTAATATTAACTGCTAATTTTAACTTATATTTTAATCTAATTTTTTTAGCTGAATCAAAATTGGACTTCATTTATTATTGATGTAATGATGAAGTTATGTACATTAAATGGCTACAAATAATGTCATACCAGAAGTGTACAACCTTGCTATAAGTACAGGGATTCAAATCCTTGTACTTACAGCACACACACAACACTTGGGGGGAAAACTTTTTTTTTTTCAATATTTTATACATGGGTCCCACACCATGTGAGTGGAAATTCAAAATTCTGGTACTGTACTTGAATCATTTTTAAGAAGTGTAACCATCAAAAAAACAAAGAAAAAGGTGGGCTTTGGTGTCGGGTTCGGGTCAAAATTGGTTAAAACTTAAAGGGGTACTTACAAAAATATCCTTAAAATTAGGGGTGTTTTGAAAAATCATGTGAGAGGTTTTTAGGAAGTAAAAAATATTGTGTAAAATGAAAAAGTGACACAATGTCACTTTTTTTATAAAAATTGTCACTTTTTTGAATCACTTTTTTACATTTTTCAAAAAAGTGACATAATTCAAAAAAAGTGACACACTCAAAAAAGTGACAAATACTTAAAAAAGTGACAAAACACTAATCAAAACATATGTTTTTTATTCAAAAAAGTGATA